GTCACTACGCAAAAAAAATGCCCAAAGACTTTAAAGTCCAAAATCTCATAAATTCATTAGATCCTGTTGAAGGAGATATTAAATCAGAATACTCTGAATAAGAAGAAGCAGATCAGGATACAATCTTTACCATACAAGAATCCTCTGATGATTTCTCATAAACCTCTAGTAAAGAAGAGGAATATATACCTCTTTATTCCACCCAGAAGATACAAAACATATCTCAAACTCCAGCTCAACCTTGTGTCGAAGTACAGGTTCTTTCCAACAAATATGCTACTCCTATTAAAGCTATAGCTTATATGGATATTGGAGCACAAAGAACAATGATGAATCCAGATATCCCTCCAAAAAACTGCTGAACCAAAAATCCAACCTTCTTTGTAGCAGTAGATGGAAAGATCTTCAAAACAAACTTAATTTCCAAAATGCCTATTGGAATTAAGTTTTTTCCAGATTGTATAATCTGGATGAAAGTTATAGGGAGTTATCTTCCTAACAAAGATATTGTTCTTGGAGTGGACGCATACTGCTTAGCGGAAAAGCTTCAAATTCTTCCCAAGGAAATCAAGTTCAAAAGAAGTTTCAAGCCATATACTGATGTACTGAAACTTTATTCTCTTGAAGAAAGTCCAAAAAAATATTCTGAGATCAAAGAGAAGCTAAAACAATTATGTGCAGATGGTCATGAGAATTTCTCTCATCCCAATCCAATCTGGAATAATCCAGAATTTTTTATAAAATTTCCTTTCAAGCTCAATGAAGATATCAATCCTACAAAAGCCACTCATCCTGGAATGAGTCCCAGTGATCTTCAAATGGCTAGACAAGAATGCAATGAACTTCTACGTCAAGGATTGATAGAACCTACAAAATCAGAATGGGCATGCCAAGCATTTTATGTTGAGAAGATATCTAAAAAGCTTAGGGGAAAAAAGAGGTTAGTGATTGATTATAAGCCTCTAAATCATTTTCTCAAAGATGATAAATTTCTTATCTCAAAAAGTACTTCTTTTCACACTCTTATCAAGGATGCCATAATTTTTTTCAAGTTCGATTTAAAGTCTAGATTTTAGCAACTTGGTGTTGATCCCTCTAATAGATATAAAACTTCTTTTTGCATACCTAATGCTCAGTACCAATGGAAAGTTCTTCCATTCAGTCTTAAGGTTGCACCTTCCTTATTCCAGAAAGCTATGATCAGAATCTTTGAGCTTATCCTTGATAGTATACTCATCTACACAGATGATGTATTGCTATTATCAAAAGACAAAGAATCTTATAAAGATCTTCTCAACAAGTTTTTTGATCTTGCAAATACTTATGGGATTATGTTGTCAGAAAAAAGATTCAATTAGTACAAACCCAAATAGATTTTCTGGAATACATTTTTCTCAGGGAAATTATTAACCTCAACCTCACATTGCTGAAGAACTCTTAAATTTTCCTGATGAAAATTTCACCATCAAACAAATTCAACAATTTCTTGGAGTTTTGAATTATATTAGGGATTTTATTCCTAATGCAGCTAAATACACAAGCCCTTTTATCAAAACTTCTAGGGAAAAATCCTTCACCATGGAGTACTGAACAGACTGAAGCTGTTCATCATTTGAAAAAGATAACTCAAAATCCTCTACCATTGAAGATTCCTAGAGATGGTAAAAGGATTTTGCAGACAGACACCAATGATCATTATTGGGGAACTGTCTTACTTGAAGAAATTAATGGAAAGAAAGCCTATGCTAGCAGACAATTCAAAGAATCTGAGAATCATTATCATACCACTTACAAAGGAGCTCTTGCGGTAAAAAATGGTATTCAAAAATTTGATTTCTACTTAGGAGGTCACAATTTTGAAGTCCAGATGGATAATTCTTCATTTCCTGCTCTTCTTGAATTCAAAAATAAGATACCACCTGATCTTCAGGTTCTCAGATTAAAAAATTGGTTCTCTAAGTATGATTTTACTGTTAAACACATAAAAGGAGAAAAAGAATATTGTCCTAGATCTGTTATCTCGTCCAAAGAAGCCAATTTCTATTGTTACTTCCATCCAAATCTATCCATTAATTTTTCCTCTCAATATTGTTGAAGCCACTACTAGTAACTCACATCTGAACAATTTCCCACCAGAATTTAATCCCAACAATAGAGTTAATCCTGAGTACATAAAAGACTTTGGCAAAAGTCATATGTTCCATTACCTAGCTCTTTCTTTACATAATCATGGAATTAAGCCTAAACCTTCTTGGTTTCATCTTGATGTTCCTTATCTGAATATCTTTGCTCTTTTAATGGATTACCTCATGATTAAAGAAGACTTATGGTATTTATGGTGTGTTTCCTTGTTGTACCATTATCTTATAATATTTCCAACTTTCAGGATGTTTGAATTTCTTGATAATTGTTAAAATAACTCATCCTTGCTATGGAAATTTCTCATCTGGTATCAATCTATTCCTTATTGGAAAAGAGATATACAGAAAGAAATGGAGAGACTTTGTATCTGGAAGGAAGTCAAGATACCTCCTGATCAATTTCCACAACATGTGACTGGTGTAATAATCCGTAAGCCTTATTTTCAGCATCCAACAACTAAATTGTTATATACTCAAAACCAAGTCAGATTTTGGAACACTTATAAAAATTTACAAGATATTTTTGATCCTGCAAAGCCATCTTTTGAACAAGCAGATTTAACAATCTATTTACATGTCATTAATGGAGTTCGTGATCAAATGACAAAAGTGAATTCTACTTGTTCCAATCTAAAATCAATGGATATCATCTGTCCACCTGATCCTGATGATAAAGGTATATGGGATAGAATCCAACAAGTCACTCCATCTATTATCTCTTTTGATTGCTAGATTGACAATTGGGAAAGAGAAGGCCAAATAATTCTAAGTAAAGATTCTGAGTCATCCCAAACTGATATGATTATAGATTCCCAAGATCCTGATAAATCTATTTTGGAAAAAGCTGAATGGATCAATGAAGATGACCCTAATCTCTCTCCGAGTCATGAGCCTATCCTCAAAGATTGAAGGACAAATAAAAAGTCACTTTATAGTTGTCAACTTTTGTAAAATCATATTTATGTACTATAAAGTAGCTTTAAGTAGGATCATGTACTTAAAGTAGTTTGGCTTTGTGAAAGTAACTTTATTTCAAAATCTTATCTGAATGTTTGTCTTGTTGTATTCAACTCCTCTATATAAGGGAGGATTCTTGTTAGCTAAGGGCAAGAGGTGAATGAAATAAAACTTGTATATTTTATACATTATGAGTTCATTCTAAGTTTCTTTCTCTAAAAGCTTTGTCTATAATAATTATCTTTTAGTCCCTGACTAGAAATAAGTATGCTCTGCACTTGCTATCTTAAACAAATCCTGTGCATCAGATAATTTTTAAGTAAAAGATCCTGTTGCTACGGTTCTCTTTATTATGATTTAGATAAAATGAGAAGCACGAGTAGATAAAAAATGTATATAAGTTTGTTCAAAGAATTAGAAAGTGTTATTGAATTCTATCTTATTTATGATATAAGAGGCTCCCGGCCACTAATGATAAAATTACATTACTTTTAAATTTGCATATTTAAAATCAATCATCAAAATTAATGTCAAGAATTTTCTTTTAAATGATATATTTGCAAAACTTTATACATAAAAATATACATTACTGACGTGACATTAATATAAAGAAGTACATGTGCAAATTGTCCAGAAGTTGAGTAAGAAAAGTGGTGTCTCACATGGAATTATAATAAGAATCGCGTTACCTGCGAAGAGAAACAAATGATTATGTATTCTAATTAAGAACTTTAATTCTCATCATTTTAACATTTTCTTTTGTTACTTAATTCTTTTAAAATATTCTAAAAAATAGTAAATTATAACTAAATGCATTTTTAAGTTTATTTAAAAATAGCATTTTTAAGTTTATTTAAAAATAACACTTTTAAGAACACTATTAACTATTCTTAAGGATATAGTTACACGCCATGAACCAAACTTTACTATATATGTTTCAGATCAAGAATGCAATTAACTTCATTTGTTAGATATGAAATATGATTTTTTGGCACCCAAAATTATACACGTTATTCTTACACTTTTGCATTTGTATATGAAAAGAAAAGATGGGATTTGAATCCTCTCTCTTTCCACACACAAATTCATGAACATAGAGAAACGTAGGATACGGGATTTTGGGTATAAAAAAAGTAGTTCATATATATTTTGTCACTGCTTTTATCTGACATTATAATCTATTTCAATATCCTGTCTGTTGAGTGTGTCTAGTTAGACATATATAAACACACACATTCCTCGGTCCTGATTAAGCACACACAATTAAATATGTCATGTTATGCGAAGTTCCAAAGCAATATTTATATGATTTCCGGTGTCACATTAGGAATGCAAAGGAAAGGTTCAGATTGATTGATACCTTCAACTAGGTAAATTTTGTCGAATAAAAACAAGTTAACTGTTGGACCCATCATGACCTAAATTTTGCTTTTACAACCCCCAAAAAAGGATTGAAAGAAAGCATTGAGAGACAGAGAGAGAAGCTAATTAAGCTTGTACAAGAACGGAAAGGAAAGTAGCACGTACAGTACTGATATCTGCTTCCTGAAAAATAGGTTATGTAAAAGTAATCACACAAAATTATATATATGAGAGCGTTAAAGTAATCAATCAAAGTTGATTACCCTAAATACAAACATGCGCTTAAAGTTGATGAACAAAGCACAAAATTTTGATTTATAAATATTTAATAATATCATGTATTTAGTACTCATCTCTTTTTATCTTTATTACATTACATCATCTCGTTCTTAGTATGTAGAGTCAGTAGGGGAGTCTATGTAACATTTTTCCAAAGCACATTACCATGTAACGTTGATGAAGACATTTGAAAGTGCTTATTATGTTAATTATATATAAGCTACGTGGACATCATGGTTTTTCTGGCAAGTGAAAAAGTACTAAGTGGGGCATCCAGCTATAAAACTCATATGCAACTGTTGCAGATGTTAGCCGAATCTTGGGCAGTCTAGTGGGGAAGAGTAAATACTTACAAAGACCTAGAAGACGATATGTTACATCAGCTACAGTGTTGGCTGCACCTTTTTGTGCCAGGCATTAGATATATTTTATATAAAGCTAAGTGTTTGAGACAAAGTTGTATATATTATTAATACAAATGGAGGCAACAGAAAGAAGGAGCTCCCCTTCAGTCCAAGCACAGAGAAAGAGGGATGCAAAATATCTCCCACTTCATTCACACAATTACAGTAGCAAATGGCCACATCATAACCCCTACTGTGTGTGTATGAATGAGTCAGCAGATACTTCAGCAAACCTTTAATCCCCCATATCCATGCGTGGGCTGAAGGAAGCTCCTTCACTCTTTTCTCTCCCAGTGTGAGTAGAACAGTGCATGTATACATTTTCATTTCCTTCCCTGAGACAGATGACATGACATTTTGATATTGATGGGGGGATCATGAAGAAAGTACTGTATATTTCGGTAATATTGTTGCAGCTGGCAGAGAGAGAATAAATAAATCAATCTAATTAAAAAGAAACTGAAAATTAAGGCTAGTTAATTTTCTCTTAAGGGTACTAATAATTAAGTAATTGAATACAACTATAGAAAGAGACCTGGAAATTAATAGGACGATATTAATGCAGGTTTGACTAAAAACTTAAAAGCAAATATATAGCAACAAAATAATGATGTATATTGGGAGTTTGTCAAATGAATCAATGACTTGATCAGAGTACAAAATGGTTTTCAAAAGTTACAACTGATCTAAACCCAAATCTATGTAATGTAATTGCAAATCCAATAACCAATTGACTGCTTATTAATTAATATAAAATAGTGAAGAAAGAACTGAAAAAGCACTTATATATGTAGGCCAAAAACAAGGCAAGTTTCAAATAAAAGAAAATTAGAACAAGAAAAGGAATGGAACTGAGCTTGTAAGAAGGGAAAGATAAGAAAACTAATCGCATCAAATACCATATTCTTGTCAAACGAAGTAGTAGAATAAGGAACATATATGTATATCCATGCAAGTAATTTACAATTCATTTCAAAAACATTTCATAAAAATTGATACCAGCATATATATTAGATTGTATATATATACCATAAATCCAAGACCTAGAAAACAAATAGCTAGTACCATCATAAAACACTATATGAGGGAACCCTACGTTTGAGACCGCAGGATCAGTGAAGAAGATGAAGGAAAAAAAGAAAGTAAAACCAAGAACAATAGAATTACTGTGGAAAGCAGACATTAATTATAATTTTTGAAAGATAGAGAAGAAGTGCATGTGGGTATGAGTGGAAAGAGTTGTGTTTGGATGATAGAATAGAAAACAAACTTGAAGTTTGAATAAGGAAGAGGAAGAGAGAGAGCTAGCTGAAAGACTGATGCTGCCAGAAACCCTAAATCTGGTGTGTTTTTTATGGATATCTGTGCTTGACAGTGGAAAGAAAACGAGGGTTATAAAGAAATGAAAACCGAAAGACGAAAAAGGACTTGAAGGTAGGTAACCAATGCCCAATGATGAAGATATGTTATTCATTAAATTATTCTACTTTATTTATTTATTTTCATAATAGAAAAATTAATAGAGTATAGACATTGTGGGTCACTGTCCTCATGAGAGTCAGAGATGGGAAAGTGAATCCAATATCTAAAAAAGAAAATAAATTGCTTAGTGGCAGAAGAGAATAGATGACTTCACCGGTGGGTCTAATTAAATTTCACTCACAGTAATGTTACAGTAACATTTTTGTTTTTTATGCAGAAGAAACACTGTTCCAATTATTCTTACGGATTTCGATCCTCTAGAGTTACTTTCACACACAACTGCATGAATCTCATTCATTCATTTTATTTTTTTATATATTAAATCCATTGTGAAAGTGATTTACTTAATGTATTGATATTACACAATGTACATCCCCGATTTTTTTGTTGCTGTTCTCGTTTAAATTCAATACCATATGTATAAAGAATATTATTATATATTTAAATGTATTTGATAAATAATATTCAAATATATCCCTTTCATTATTAGGTGGTTAAATGATAGGAACTAAAGGATTAAATTAATTTAAAACTAATTAATCTAACATATGAAATGGATGAAAATAATTATGTGTGCGAATGTTTATATTAGCTTATTTATGATTAAAATAGATTATGATCGATTTTTTATATATATAAAAGATATCAAGAAAATAACTTCTCATTATCTCACGTTAATACAACTTTAATTCCTACCTCCCATCATGAAAATCAGAATAAACTAAAACATCACAATGTTACTTTCTGGAGAATCAAGAAATTTTTAAATCTTATAACAAACATATGAACACTGAAGAGTGTATTTACTAGAAAATGGAGAAAACTTGGAAAGTGAGGAGCATGGATTACCAAAAGAAAAATGCTGTTTTGCTTTAAGTTAAAGGCTGAGAAGAATATATATGTTGGAAAATAATTATCTGCAAAGCAAATACTCTGCACTGAGGAAGGAAAAGGGAAAATAAACAATCTATATTTAAAAATTATAAAATTCATTTTGTTTGTTTCTTTATCTCATGTTTTGCAGGTTTTTAAAAATTCCCGAGGATTTAATAAAAATATATTAATTATACAGATCAAGACAACCGACAATACAATCCTTCTCAAAACTACTGTTCGGCGTGTGCAATTTTCTCATCAAGAGCAATAATGATATATACACAATAACTTTTTATTATATTTTTATAATAATTTTTTATATTTTTTTTATCATATCATCTTGAAATATTTTTTAGTTTTAAAATAAAATAAAAATTTAGCCTCTCCAAAAAGAAATGACAATTATTGAGAATTCATTGATTTTTTTTTTCGTCACAATGGCAACTTCTTACTCAGAAAAAGAAAGAAAGCCACGAGAATAAATTGGGCACTGTTTACACATCACTCTTTGTTAATGTGTTTATAAATATCTTTAATAAATAAATAAAATAATGTATTTGCTTTTGCAAAATGTTAAACTCCCAAAAGATCAATCAGCATCATTTGGTCTAATTATTGACGAGGAGTTTGGTTCTTTTAAACAATATTATGTTGGAAAAAATATATTCTTGATAAGAGAATTTTATTCTCAAACAAAGTTTATAATTATTTTTTAAAATAATTTCAACTAATTAAAAGAAATTTTCTTTTGGTTATTTTTATAAAAAAATAACTATCATTATTTTTTTAAAATATAAAAAATATTTATTTTAAAATGTATTAATTGATAATTTTTGTATACCTATTTATTGAAACATTTATGTTAATAATACACTCACTTATTTCTGTTAATATCATTTAATTATTTATAATTATAAATATTTTTAAAAATAAAATATAAATTTATGACATAAATTTATTTTTTTATTAGTTTTAATGAATTGAGTGTTTGCTTTTGGTAAAAGAAAAAGGGAATAATAATTAAGTTTCACAAAGAAAATGGGCGAGGTCAATTGTTTATACCCAAAAAAAATTTTATTAATAATTTTTGAACATGTTATAATTACTAATAAATAATATTATCCCATTTAAATGGAATTAAATATATTTTTTTTCAAAAATGATCTTAATCATGTTATAACTTTGTTTCTTCTCATAAAAATAAACTTTATTTGTCCCTTCATCTTTTAGGCAGACAAATCCTCAAAATATGACACAATGATTGCTAAATTATTGACGGATTAGATTATTTTCCAAGTTAAAAATATTGAATGTGAAATTATACAGATGAAAAATGATACACTAATTTATATACTCAATTACATGAAGACTTAATTCTTTTTCAAGTACATTATACATTCATTGGTTGCAGAGTATAATGTTAATAATTCCATTAATTGGTGCTGGAATACAAAGAAAGTTTTTAAAATTAATAAAATATTATCTAAAATCAATAATATCTCTAAATAAATAAATAAATTTATAGTTAGTTGAAAAAATAGATAAAATTAATTACAATAATAAAATATTATATTATTATAAGTAATAGTCCTTATTCTTGAAAATAGCAATATTTAATATATTATTCCTTTTCTCCTTATAACTGTTATTATTATTTAATTTTTTTTATTTTGATTTAAGTTTTTTCACACTTAGATATTAACTTCAATTACTTTTTAATTTTGTTCATCTCACAACTTTTATGCTCTCTGTATACACCTGCGGTCTCACAACTTATATGTGTATATTTATTTAAATTAATTACATGTCCATCTTATAATTCTTATTTTAAATTAAAAATATTCATACAATGTCTGATATTTTCTAATTTAATCAATAATTTACATCTCAAAAAGTTGAAAATAATAATTTTAAATCAATTATAATAATTTTATTAATTTAAGAAAAGAACTCAACTCAAAATTTACTATATGTCTAAATAAAACGTTGAGCCCTCCTGTAACATAATATTGATGTTTGGAAAGGAGCCAATAAAAACAGTTTTTGTATAGGGTAGTATATAACTATTTGCCAAATCAAAGATCAACATTTAACATCAATGGATAATCTCTCTTTTCATGGCGAAGATATAAACATGCTGATCATATAAATATGTCACAAAATGTGGTCATAAATCATTCAGCAATGTGCTTCCTTAGCTGTTATCTATGTAATTTCCTTACATGGAGACCACCCCATATACATATATATGCATGGTATGCATTATTTAGCGGTGCTTTTCATAGTCTTATTCCCATCATCAAAATTCCATAACCTGTCAGAGTACCTTATGAACCCACGTGCATGGTGCTCCATGACATGCTTGTAGCCCATTCTCTAAGCAAATTCTCCCTTCAATTTTCCATTGAGATCTAATGCTTACGTACATAAAGGGTTGTGGACTACCACTATTTCTTCATCATTCCACCTCACTTGGTAACTAGCTAGTCAAACAGTACAACCATAAGGTTTCGCTCAAAAGCAACCATAAGGCTATATTTTAGTACAGAGTTTCTAAGCCTTTGCTTGTGAGTTTGGAGGGGAAGTGGACGAGTAAAGAGTTTGGAAAATTAAGAAAGATAAGAAGTAAAAAGAAAAATGATTAATAAAAATTCTTTAAATTCAAAGAATTTAAAAATTTGTGATTAAAAGAGTTAATGGAGATTTATATACACTTTTATTTTTATTTAAAAACTCTCAAATAAAAGATAACTATTACATAAATTTTAACTTTTCCTTTTTTTTTTCTTCTAAAAAGTTAACTTCTAAAAAAGTTTAAGTGTTTATTTTTATTCATTTTTCTATCAAAATCAAAAAATAATCACACATTTATGAACTTTAATTTTCTTTTGTTTTTCTACCTTGGAGTGTGATAAATTTTAACAAGCAATCATCAAATAAATCAATTTGAGTTTTATATCCTAATAAAACAAGGTTGTTTACTTCTTCGTTCTCCCTTTTTTTTTATTCACCATAAATCCAGAACCCTTAACAATGATGATTTTATAATAAATATCTATTATTGTCTCTCTCCACACTCTATTTAGTTTACTGGTATTACATGAATGAGAAAAGTAAACAATGAAATTTAGGAGCTTTATTTAGCACTAAGCTAGCTTTCATTGCAATGACAATGCAATGCTGCTTAAAATATGGCAAAGTAAAACTAGTAACAGGGAAGCAGGGAATGAGTACAACTAAACTTAGGAATGGACATTTCAAAGAAGAAAAAGAAAAAATAAATAAAAAAAAAGGGGTGATGATGAGGATTCATGAGTCAAAAGGGGCAAACAAAGTGATAATGGAAAAGCATGAAGGTTGGGACTTTTGGTGGAGAAGGAGGTCAAAAGTGTGAGTGATGCAGTTTGGGAAAGGAAGATAGGCAGTGAATAATGTGATCTTCCACAATGCCACAGTGGGGAGCAGCAGCCAGACCAGCAATGGACCACAAAAGATATGCAATATGGATGCATAATTTTACAATCTTGGTAGATTCGGTTTAGATTTATATCTAAGATAATGTTCACTTTTCTTTTGCATAACCATTTTTGCACAATCCTCTATTTCACAACGTGCACATTTTGCGCTTCCATGTTTAGTTATTATTAATTTAACATTTTCAGCCAGATTCACTTCTGTTTGTCCAGTTTTATAAATTTGTGTGTCTATGATTTTTCTCTTAGACCATATTGTAAATTATAGTTTAATCTTCATGCAATTCTCCATCACTTGTGACTGGTGAGTGTGCACATTTTAATTCTATTATATGTTATTTGTTTTGCTCTTCGCTGAATGAACATAACCTTTCCCAACTTTCATACAACATAACATTAATTTGATTGTATGGCATTATTTCCATACACGTCATTCAATTATAGTGGATGTAGATTGCCTAGCTATCATGATTCTTCTGTGTAAAGAAATGAGTTACTATAGTACTGATAATGGTTCTATAGAGAATATTTTAGTTGCATTAACGAGAATAATGCCTCACAAGCAGAGCCAGAAATTTGGTTTAAGTGGGCCAAGACAAAGGAGTATAAGACTTGGGTATGAAAAAAATAAATTAACTAATGTATGGAAATATATTCAACAAATTTTAATATAGAACTAACATAATATCAAGAATATGCCTTTACTTCTAAAATTACGCTCACGGTTATTTCACAGGGTAAAAATCATCATTATATCTATATTAATTTTTAATATTTTTTTCTCAATATAAATAATTCTGTATTAATGAAAAATCCATCTTCAATTTTATTGCATAACCTTGATTTAATAACATTAATCGTTGACAAAATATTTTTTTTAATCATTACATAGGAAAAATTATAATAAGTTGTAACAATTTGTCATTTAAAAGACAAAAATTGATTGATTTGCTAGTGATCTCAATCAATTTCTTGTTTTATTAATATCATTAATTTCTATATTTTTATTATTTTATTAAATAAAAAAATTAACTTATAAAAAATGTCAATAGAGATATAAAATAATTTAAAAAAATTGAGGCGTCAGTCTTTTAATATAATAATATTGAAAGAAATTAAAATTTTGGGATTGACCATTATAATCGACAGACACCCCTTGCCTCCGCCATCGTTCTCAGAAACTCTTGCCTTACATAATCTTACCACTTACCTTAACAAAATAAATTTAAGATTTAAACTTTGGAATAATTTCAAAGTACATGTGTAGGCATCTCAAATGTGCAATAATTGTCATCAAGGAATGGATATTGCCAAAAGAAGGAGACAAGATCCTCTACGATGTGTGTGTATATATATTTTGTATAAGTCTATAGTTTATAATTTTTTTGAGGGGACCCATAACACATCAATAAAACTAACCTCCTGTTTGTTTACACCAATTTTAGGAAAGTGATTTTAGTCGAAAAAAATTATTAGTTTGGTTATTTGTTTTAACAGAAGTAAAAAAAAGTAAAATTGTTAAGTGGATCTTACATGATTATCATCTTTGCACCTGCCATTTGGTTACAATTGTTGCATGGTTAACATTCAATATTGTGTAGATCCCATATGATTAATAGTGATTATTTTTTTATATAATATAAAAATTATAAAATACAAAATATTAATTAAAATATTGTAATAAAAAAATTATTATTTTGTAATATAATTTACTTATTTATTTCTATTCTTCTTTTCACCCATCTAAATAAATGGAGAGAACTTTTTCTATTATTCTTACTTCCTATTTCTGCTCATTCAAATAACATATCATTTTCATCTGACATTCTTATTTCTTTCCATTTTATTTAGTTTTTTCCTCTATTTCATCTCTTCATGTAAACAAAGCCTAAGAAACAGGATTTGAATGGTGTACAAAATGTTCAAACTTCATGCCATGTTACATAGGAAGAAAAGTTGGGAAAATGTAGTTTGTACAATATCAAGCCTTTATCATGTCAAACTTTATTTCAATAATAAAATACTACAATGAATCATCAATATGCTTTAAGTTACATAAAAATTATAAGTTTATAAATTTTATTTTCCAAGAAAAAATTTCCATCCCACTGATTAAATTGATAAAATTCAATATTCATAAAAATTAGTAAATTTATCAACATCAATTTTTAGTATGAGTTTTAAACATATCAAGGTAATAAATTTATTTTAACAATATTTATTATATTTTATATTTTAATATAATAAATATTAATTTTTTGGATGATATTTTACTATTTTTAAATTCTTAAAATATCTTTTAAAGATGATATAAATAATTTTTCAAAATTTATTTAATAAAATGTCAAAACTTTCTCTTAAAATAATATACCAACACATACCTCGTGTGAAAGTAAATTCCCTCTACCAAAGGATATGGAGAAAAGATTAGGATCCTCTCATGTTTTAGAGCATATAACTCTTATGTGCCTGAATTTTTGTATTTTTGTTGAAGCAAAAAATTATTCGCTTAAATAAAAATACAAAAATACAGAACATGTTCATGTTCATGAAGGGATCCTAATTCATGGGAAAGGGGAAAGAGGAAATCGAAATTGAATTGTAGCGTTATAAAAAAGCAAACTTTCCATAGCGGTAGTGTGTGTAGTGTAGAATATGAGGTTGGGTAGCAGCTCCACGCGGACTAAGAACTCGTGCTACAGCCATAAATGTAATATTCTTTATTCTTTCCTTGAATCCAATCTCATTAGAACCCGTTAATGGAAATTTACCAAACCAGAGAGAACTTAAAATGACACTATACAGGAAAATTTTGGCTCAAGAACACGATCCCAGCCAAACAAAGCGAGAGCTTAAAACAACTGAAAAAACAAACTTGTTGATCCATTTCCAAAGGTCCGAAGATCAGCTGGTTTTACCAATGCCCTACATAATGGGCAAGTTCGTTCTCTCTCAAACCTGAAAAACAAATGAATTTTTGTTGGATGAGAGAAAAGTGATGAACATGATTATGAACACATCAGAAATACAATTTAAATGACTCTTCTACAAGTCAAAGGCATCTCAAATATAAATATTGTTAGTTAAACATTTGATGAATATAAACGTAGTGAAAATAATTTTTTTTTTTATAGAATCAAAGTTCTAAAGTTCGAGGAAAGTACTGCTGGCCATTAAGCGCACAGCAGAACAGTAGAGTGTACTTCATAGAAAAATTCCATTTCCATTAACAACACATTTTCTTCCCTCACTAATATAATGCAGCAGAAGAGGGCAAAACCCTAATAAATAGTCTAAGTATGCATGACAAGCTAGGATTTCAATTTTTATCAGTGAATAGTTACAAAGTATTGGTATAACTATAACCTATTCAATCGTCTGAAATTATTCCATAGAAAAGTACTATAGACCATTGAAAAAACTAGCGAATATATGCCTGATTTTAGGTGAAAGAGAGATATAAATCATTAGCCAAGATCAATAAATTCTATAAAATTGTAAATAAAAGTATTTGGACAATGTATTTTAGAGAAACAATAGATGCAGCTTGCGGGATAAACTCTAGACTGATAGCTACTCCACCATAAACAACATCTAACAAAATCATATACATCTAACACAAAATCATATAGTTTATTTCTCTTAAATACAGAGTGAGCTTCCAATTTAAAAGGTCCAAACAATGAATAAAACAATTAACTGACCATTCAGATACACACTCTTCGCAGAACATGTGTTTACAGCACAACAATATAGGAGCACGCATCTTCTCCTGGCATATAGCACACATGTCACCAGCAGCATTCACCTGCATTTAGATATTTAGAGTCACCGTTAGAAAGGTGGCCAAATAGGAGTCTTCAATAATACCCAATATTGGTATATACCAGAGCTTTCCTCCTCAAATGCAGAAGAAACCTCATTATAAAGGAATAAATGAAAAAATATAAAAGAAAAACGCATAACAAAAGGTCAATAACAGACATGAGGCATTCCAAAGATAAATGTGTGGTTATATATCCATTTTGCACGTCCTCTATCCTATATTGCCATAGAATGAATCCTTTTTAGATGTGAGACATACATTGTGTTGAAACAAGTACATCATTGCCAGCCGGCCAGCCATTCCATGAAGCATATACATATGCGAAGACATATTCATTTAGTATGAAAAATAGCCAATAAAGGAGAAAAGAAAATTACAGTAACATGTCTAAACTTCCAGCATTGTACATTTCCACTTCCAGCATTAATTCCAAATATAATAATAAACTAGCTGTAGACTAGACCATTTCATAGTAGGAAAGCTAGGAGAAAAAAGAGTTAAAAGTACAAAAACAATATTTAATTCATTTTACAATTGTTATTTAAATTAAAGCCTGAAGATTATATAGAATTTAGAAATATCAGCATTGGCTCATTGTTATCAAATGGTTAGAACAATGGAATTCAAATTATTAGAATAACATAGTTTACAATTGTTCCGGTCTAGATGCACTTTTTGCCAGAGGGTTGGAGTTTGAACACCTTGAGGAATTATGCAGAGCCAAGGCCAAACAACAATTTAAAAATGTGAATATTGCATAAGTTGCCTCATCTGACACATTCAATGTGATTACCCTCTCCACCACTTAGTACAAAGTATACCTCCAACTCAGAGTACAAATGACCCTACTATGCCAATGTCTCCATCTCGTAATCCGGTTGCCATCCTTTCACAGTCTTACACTGTTGGCATGGCAGGCTTGAAACAGAATACCATGGAAGCATGGCACTGTTCTCAGAGAAGCTCATGGAGGCTACTTTTTATACAGCAGTCAAAGAGGAACTTGCAGCCATAGTGAAAAAATGGTAGATTTAGGGTTTTATTTTATATTAAAAATAGAAATGAACAGTGTCCATATGAGACTAGGATTCTTATTTTTGAAAACATGACTCTCTCCACCTGAAACCTAAACTCTATGAAAACCTGAACCATCTCCATTTCATGTCCTGTTGTCAAACAGCATCTCCAATGATCAGAATTGTTTCCAGCAAGTGCATGACAATCTCCAAAGATTTACATTTCTGGGTAATGTTACTGTCTCCCTCTTTTTTTTGTCAACGTTCATAATTGAAACTTGTCATCTTCTTTTCTACTGCCACAACAAATTGCATTTTTTTTTTTTTGGATATTTTCGTTTCTCAGACAGGGAAGTCGTTATGGATGTTTCCTTTGAAGCCCAATCTCTTAGGCACTCACAAATGGACCTTGGTAGCTTAGAGCAACAATAGCTAATTAAGTACTTATATCACTAAAAATTAGTTGTTTATTTTTAAAAATTATTTTTATATAAATTTTTTTTAGAAAAACTATCTTATAAAATAATTTCAAGTCTACACTTATATTGAACCAATTTATATCTCTAAAAATAGTAAAAATAATGGCTTCTCAAATACCAAAAACATATACATGTTTATATTTTTATGTTATTTTTATTTCTTAGTATACATTGCAACTCATTGAGTCAAAAATTAATTAATCTCATTCATTTCACAATCAAGTTTGTATATTCTTGTGCATTAAATTCATTAATGGTAATATTATCAGTTTCATGGTAAATAATTAATATGCAATTATTTGCAATGATACATGTGCACTTCACTTTAATGAATAATTCATACTAATAGTTAGTAATTATATCTTAATCAACATGACAGAAAACTGTTTCATTATTAATATTACTTTATCTTCAGATTTATTATATGCATTGTAGGAGAAGACAGAACAGATAACAGCACTAAAATATATAATTTATTTATTTTATTTAACAAAAAAAAAAGGTTTTAATGGTTCATAATTGAAAGAGATCCTTTCCCTCATGCATCTAAAATTCGCAAACAAAATTTTAAATATATTTTTGTGCCCTTTTACAAATATAAGAAAGCTACACCTACAATATCCAAACAAAACATCAAATAAGAGTATCAATATCAATACATTGTAACAACCGACACACAAGCATTACTTAGAATTGCAATTATTCAGATCCTGACTTAATCAGAGCATTTAACATATTATTTACCTGTTCTGTTGTGGCATAAACCCCATAATGAACTTCCTTCTTTGATAGTGCTTTTAAGGCAGAAACAAAGCATTGGACCTAATAAGTACATAGAAGGTTGAAGAAAATTGAATAATGTAGGGTCATGCACAAAAAATCATTAAATACATCACAAGGAAGTAAATGTCAATTTTAAAGAACAAAAGCGCACCTTCTCAACTACAGATGTTAGCTTGAAAGTTAGATACAATCCTGTAGTCAGTGAGGAAAAGAGACTTCCATAATCCTTGTTCAAGAAAAAACGGTACCAAACAGGTGTTGGCAACAAGGCACGATACAACAGCAGAGTGTATTCAACCAGTGTTAACATTTGACCCTTGAAATAATTTACACGTTTTCAGATGGTTGTAGGAGGCAACAATACTTGAAAAATATGATTCTTGGAAAAGCAAGGAAGTTACTAAAACCTGTCGACGGAAGTTATGACCTCTGCCATTTTTGCAGTAAATAAGCAACACACACTTGAAAGCCATCACTGCTTGCCGCACCAATGTATCTGAAAGTCAATGTATATTGTGACCATGACTACCAATCAAAATATCTTTCGCTATAAACAGAATTAGAATGATTATAAGCTGGGAAATTTTCTGCTATCAAGGTATAGCCAAGACACAGCAACAAAATCAACCTAGACACTGAAAAAACCAAAAGCATATTGATGTAACATCAAAGAAATTTACAAAGATACTACTCATTACCAGTGTTGAACAATATCTCAAACATTGATGCATATAAGTGGCTTTTTTTTGCCAAAACAACATTCATTGTAAGAAAACTAATGAAATATAATACAAACAGCCAAATTAGGAAAATATTGATTTATACACATACACACACAAAGATATATAATTTAGAGAAGACTTCAAATGGACACATACTGGAAGACCCATAAATCTTGGATCACCATTAAGAATGCATAATATAGTAATTTATTCATTTAGATTCCACCAAGGTTTTTGTCAGGCAGACAGGTGTGATATGCAACCTAAAAATTCTGATATACTGGAAGACCCATAAATCTTGGATCATCATTAAAAACAAATTTAATACACTAATTAACTCATTTAGATTCCACCCAAGGTTTTCTGCCGGTCAGACAGATGCAATATGCAACCTAAGACTTCTGAGATACACATTGCATCCATCCATAATACTGACAGTAGCAACACAATATATATCAACTCCATAATTCATGAGACAATACCAAATAAATGAAAATGGGGTAGGGGGTCTATATACTCAGCTCATGCTTGACAATAGATAAAACATATTCAAGCTTTTAGAATAAGCTGCTGTTTCTTACTATTACAAAGTTGTATAAGTGTGAATCTAAGACTCACTTTTATATAAGCACTTATTTCAACAGTTCATCTAAATGTGCGTTTGGGTAAACTTTAATTAAGTGTTTACCAAATAAGAGCTTATCACGAGATTTTATATCATAATTCATAAGGGCTCAATAAAATAAGCTTATTTTGATCACCTTTGCAATGAAACTAGTTGAAATAAGGTTATAAGAGGGTCAGCCACCTTTAGAAGCTTAATCAGATATCTTCAATTTTTAGCTAAATTACTTGTATGCTAAGATAAACTCAGTAAAAAACTTCCCAATACTACCTAAATGGGCTTGAAATGAGTGGGGATAGAAGCATAGAACACGTAAGAAATCAAAGTTTGTCTCCCTCTGGAAATTTTGGATCTTCAACACAATTTTGGGAGTGGTATTCCTTTTTTTCCTGGGAAATGTTGGGAAGAGATTTTGTGCATAGCACAAAAAAGAGATCAAGCAATGACTGTGCATAGCACAAAAAAGAGATTTTTTTTGTCTTAATGCCAAAAAGCGAAAACAAACAAAAAAATAGGTTAACTTTTTTGGTTGATACTTGATAAAATTCAGGGTGATGAAGGATCTCCCCATTCCAAGGCCAAGGAAAACCACCAACCTCAACAAAGACTTTCAATGAGATTATAGACCACCTACCAACAAGCGACCCTAAGATTCAAACCCAATTCATGCAGTTGTCATAAGCGAAAGGTTGACCAGGTAAGCCAACCCTCAATGGGAAAGGACTGTTAATTTTATCCTGAAACAATTTTCGTTCAATTTCACTCCAGGTTCACTGGTAACCGATTAAATACAAAGAACCCATTTTATTGTACTCCTTCCATACCCAAGATATATCTTAAATAACAAAACATTTCAAAATACAAATGAGTTATGAAGTTAAAAAGGTCAAGGAAGTCTTCAGTGTCATCATTCTTAATCAAGTAAATAACCCTACTATTGTGTTGAAACTTCCAAGTTCCTTGCAAGTTAGTCAAGCACTCAACATTTAAACCAAACTGCCTAGTTATTTGCTAAGGAGCCAAATTTCTATTTTAAACTTTTAATCACAAACTATGAACATACATTTTACCTCACTATCACTATCTCTAATAGAGCAAATAAAACTGTCTAGCTTAAAAAAACCATCTCAATATGATAACCGCATATACTGCAAGCACAGAATAAATCCATACCATTAACCAAAATGATGAATATGGCATGCCAAAAAGGTGGTGTTGCTTTTGGTGGAAACATGGCCAACGGGTATAAAAGATCATCATTTCGATACCACCAGTAAATGCTTATCACATGCAGCATGAAGGCAAAAGAGATACCAAGAAGAACAGAAACTTTCCGATCTCCCTGCAAAATAGAACTTGAATTGAGCCTCTCTAATTTTATTTTCATCTTTTTTACAAGGAAAATGGGATGTTAAACATAAATACTTCATTTTGGAATTGGAAATTTAAAGGACTTGCAAAAATCTGGGCCTAGCACCTTCAGAGCTGTCTGCTTCTTAACAACATCATTTGATTTGAACATCACAGCTGATACACAAATTGTGACAAAGAAACCTGCAAGTTCTCAGAAATGAATATCACAAAGTTACATAACTTGGTTCAGCCACACCAACAAGTCAAGCACATACAGTTTCTCTAATATTTGGGCAAGAAAACTTGGCTCAGCCATATCATCAAAGTCTATGAGCATTTGATTTGAAGCAAAAAACTAAAATGAGAAACCTAACAAAACACAAAAAACGCAGTACCTTGCAAATGCTGGCGGATGAAAACAATCAACAACAAGAGGGAGAAAGGGAGAATCTGCTCAATCCACTTGGCAATCTGCTGAATATCATACCGCTGATAAGCAGAGGACGTGGAATCCCTACCACCACCAATCCCATCAGCCAAAGACACCAACGGAACCCTCTCCTCAGCCATTCGCCGGCGAGCCTCCGGCGACAGCATCCCACTTCTTCCAACCACGGCGTCATCACAGCTCGATTCCCCAACCCGATTACGAGACGCCGCCGCCGATGACGACGACGAAGAAGAACTGTTCTCTTGCTCCCCACCCCCAATTATGCGTATGGCAACTTCCTCAGCACCGTTACAGGCACTGCCACCAGAATCAGAATCAGAATCAGACGCAGAAGCAGATTCAGATTGAACCTGAAACCGAGGGCGCGTACGAGGAATGATTATGACAGGCTCAACAGAATCCTCGCGCGTGCAGTAATCCATGACGAGAGAGAGTGGAGAAGTAAAGGGAAAACTCATCCCAAACCAATTCACAGTGTTATTACTACCAGATGATGACGACGGGGACGAGTCCATCACGTTAAAACCCTAAAACCCCTTTGGCTTCACCTACGTGTGTTTCCCTTCGTTTTTCAATTATGTGAGAATCGCATGACATATACGGAAAAGGCATTGGTTCTTCTTGGGGGATACATGTTTCGTTTCCGTTGGGGATTATGAAGGTGTGAAAGGGGTTAGTGCATGATGTGAGGATTTAAGCTTAATGTAACGATGGACATGGTGGTGGTGATAGCAGAATAGGAACAATCAAACGAAGAGAGGAGAAAAGTCAAAGTCAGGAAGCTGAAACCTTTTCTTTCTTTCTTTCTTTCTTTCTTTTTTTGGTTTTGGTTTGTGTGTGACTGTGTCTGAGCGTGCGAGAGGAAGAATACGAGGTTGACGTTCATGATAGAGAAACGCGTTTTTATTGGACATTTTCGTATTTTACTGTGTTTTCTTTCCTTCGCCGTTCCGACAACGGATGAATTGCCATCACCTCTTACCATCTTACCATTTTTTTTTTACACTCTCTGTTTAAGTTTTTTAATTACAATTTATACGAGAGGATTATTAGTTTTCACTGTGAGGTTCTCTTCTGTTAGAATAGGATCATGAGTATTTTTCATGGAAGATTATTTGAGATGAAAATATTTATAATATTATGAAATTAGTTTTAATAAGGATTTGTTGTTTACAAATTTTAAATAGTATTGTTTAACAGAATTTGTTTATTTATCATGACGTGAAATTGTTTTAAACATAATATTATCAATGGAATTTTTTTTATTTACTTATTTAATATTTTTTTATATAAAGGTATCATAAATCTTATTTTAAAATAAATTAAAAACAACTTATGATGATTATATAAAAAGCTTACTAAAATAAGTTTAAAAAATTATAAAAGTTAAATTGCTGTTAACATCTTTCAAATCAATTTTTAACAATCTACTTAACAGCAAATGAAAGAAATTTCCAAAATAGAATGGTAAAGAGATCCCAAAATAATAATAATGATGAACAAACCACAGATTGATTTCAAAATATGAACTTTAAATTAAATCCAAAAAAGTGAAATAAATGGAAGAAAAAAAAAAGAATCTCAAATTTTTCGAAACAAGCATATTCAAAATCAACTGGATATAAATTTGCAAGAAAATAGGAGGTCCTACAAGTATCCACAACTTAGCAGAACAGAGGCCACAACGGCATGAATATCTAAATATCGGAAGAAAGGGTGGTCTGTGAGAAACTCATTGTATCACTTTTAAGGATAATTATTATTTTATCATATCAAAATATTTTTTCTATCTATTTAATTATTAAAAAAAATATTATTTCTTTCATTAGTATTTTTTTAAGTACTCGAAGAGCGATCCTATCCGACTTGCTTCCACTCGAATTGCTGGAGGAGGCCTGAGGTCACCAAAAGAATAAAGATGAACATAACAGAACATTTGACTCATTAGTATTTTTTTTTTTTTCATTTATAAATTGAATTTTAAAACGAATTATATATTTTTATTTTCCGTTAGTATACAAATTTATTATTATATTTCACAAAATATTTTTCTTGTATTTACGTGTAAAACATTAATATTAGTATTATTAATTGTCGACTTTGAAGTCACAGGGGTACCTCCACGGGCAATTGCGACAAGCGGTTTCCGCTAATGAGTAACGCCAACCATAAAACAGCCCAAAAAAAATGCTAAAAAGCTTCGTACGAGCTAAAACCAAAATAAATAATAAAAAAAAAAAAAGTTCACTGAACTTAAAATAAATCAGGCCATTATTTTCAATGGCACATTGACACTCACGTTTTTATTAAATTTAGAGGGTGGAAGTTACTTGGCAGCAAACAGAGAAAGGAGGAAAGAATGTATTTCAAGTTCACAAGTATATGACATGAATGAAATGGAACATCTTAGTATTTAGACTAACCAACATAACGTAACATATGTGTCTGTCTAAATGATAGTACGTGCAAATCACAATCCACGTCTCTAACATGACAAGTGTCTTATATCTCCTTTTCAGTTTCATCAACACAAACCTATTACAAGCTGTATATATAAACACACCATCATGTGCAGTATTTCCATTAGCCCTTCCAGTTGTCTTTCAGCTTCCGTAACTCTCTTAAAGCTTCAACTGGAGACTTGCAACCTACCTTCTCCTGCAAAGATTTTAACATTTCAGAAACTCCTTCAGAGTTTAGAAGAACAAACAAATGAAACTGTGCCAGAATGTTTGTTTAAATTGCAATTTTACAATGGAAAATGAAGGAACACATTTCACTTAATTGGTTTAAACATTATTTTGACATCTTAAAAATTGACCAATTACGTAGCTACCATCATTGTTCACATGGTGAGGCATTTCCTTCCATTCCATTACCTCTTGCTATCAATTTGTTACCTACTTGTGCTCTATTTTTTATACCCTTTTGACTAGTGTGTGTGGGTGCAAACCTGGAGCGCAGGTAGATCAACCCTCATAAATGGGTTGGTTTCCATCTCTTCCTCAATGGTCGAGGGAATTGTAGGTTGGCCAGCTTGCTTCTGGTTCTGAGCCCATGTTAATTTCTGTTGTATCCTCAAATTGTCTGGCTCAATTGTCAGAGCAAATTGCAAGTTCTCCACTGTGTACTGGAGACATAGCAAATTCAAACCCACGGTTCATTAAGAATACAAATTGTAACATAATAAATAAACAAGAATTTAAGCTTTTGTAGGTCAGAAGTGTCAGGAGTCTACAAGTGCAAAATAAAATAATCTCGAATATCCCCTTCTCTCATCTTGTATGTACTCCATGCGGGCACTGATGATTAAATCTAAATAATTGATTGTTGTATTTCAGTATATTGCACAACCAATTTGGTAATGAATGAACTTCTTATGAATGTTCGCTAAGGAGTATCTATAGAAATTCACTTATAATTATGCAGCTGGATATTGGATCTCCCAAAATCCTGGGTATTAAGGATCAATGGACAGTCATACTAAAGGATTTCTGAACAGGACATTAAGTATTGACTTTATCCTTAAATTTGTTACCCAAATTAAGTGTCAATAGGCCTTGGCTTTCTGTTTCATTACATTTAAATGAATAAGACTAATCTGTGAAAAAAATGAATAGGCCTTGTGTTTGTATGAATTTGCATGGCCTGGCCCAAAATGATATCTTGGATTTCTACAATAATTTTCAAAACAACCGTTCCAAGGTTGGACTACTATGCGTCGTGAATATGCTCACACGTTTCATGAATGGAACCAATATGCTAAAAGAATTCTAGGAGAACGCGAGAACGCACAACATCCTCACAATCAAACTAGACATTGAAGAATGAGTTAGAACTCAAATATGTTCGTTTCACCTTCCAAATTGCTAAATCCAGGACGAGTTTTCTAGGCAAACTTTAGAAATTAGAAATTTTAGAAACAAACCATTCGCTCTACATTTATTAAATTGGAAAATTTTTACCGGGTGAATGCAGGCATAAACCAACTAGGGAAACAACTGGTTGCTTCAATCCCATCCAGCATTTAAATTTATAGATCAGAGGAATTCCCTAGTACAAATGATTTTCAGTAAGGGGGAGGGGATTTTAGTATTATATTACCTCATGGTCACAGTAAACTCGGGTTGGCTTTGGTAATGAACCTAATGTAACACAGAGTGACTGATACATCTGTTCAGCAGTTCCTTCAAAAAATTTCCCACAACCAGCAATAAACTGAAAAAAAAGAAAAATGTAATAACATAATGAATCCAAAGTAACGTAGGACCTCTTCCAAATTCATATACATATAAGCGTTCAGAGAGAAAGAGACAGAAAGGCCTATACATAATACATTAACTCCTAGCACTTAGCATCGCTTTTAGAATAAACTTATGATATATGCTTTCCTAAGAACTCTTATCTTTTGGACATGTTTCACCAGAACTTGATAAATGCAAAAGGTAAGACTAATCAGTTAGCTTACCAGTGTATCTCCAGTAAAAACAGCTGGTTGCTCATCCTTTTTGCCAGTAACATAATAGCATATGTGACCTTTGGTGTGGCTGAGCAAATCAGAACAGCTCATTTTAAGAAAAGGGAAGAAAATGTCTCTAGAGAAACGATGAAATTTAGGTTCAACCACATCTGGAATCATCATGTAATAAATGTATAACTAACAAGAACAATGAAGCAGGGTAATGCCTCATTGGTGGATTATGACTAAGATTAAAATGAAATGGTTAGAAGTACAAATCATGACACTCAAAATGATTTGTACAAGAGTTGGATTCTTAAATGAATATCATTTCCCACAATTTTTATGAAAGAACTCATTTATAAATGAAATCACTTCTTTCATTCTAAAGATTCCAAGCATAGGTGATAGAAGCCAGGATGAGTGCACTTAGCACGTAAAAGTTCAGCAAGCAGCAGTACATAATTCTCAGAAATCAAATAGGATGCTTAACAGTTAGCAAGTTGATGACTTTTTCAAACCTCTTCCACCATTGTATTGTCGGGTCACTTAGACTATTGTCATTTTATACGAAACGAAGGAAAGATCACAAAGTTACAGTCCTATTCTAGAAATGGAGGGTGGTAAATCCAAACTTTCCAGTTTTATGTAGGGAGAAGGGTGTCAACAAACAATATGCAATTGACAAGTTCAATATCCATACCAAGGTGTGTGAAGAGCCAATATATTAAGATCAGCCCCAAGGGACACCTTATCCCCATTTTCAACCTTATCAGTGCAACCCTTGACGTTATCAACCAAACCACCATACACCTTGATTCCAGGGACCAATTGCTTCATCTTTTCATTTCCACCAGCATGATCCCTGTCATATAATGACACAAAATTTACCAACAAGCATAGCCAGCCAAGAGTCGATGTTCATAGCCAAGTACAGTTTTGTGAACTATCATAACATTTTTTTTTTGCTAAACATTCAACATCTGGAAAATGATTGGTTAAATACATAACAGCTAATCTATGTGAGAAGTCAGGAAAATGCACCAAAGCACTGAGATTTCAAACAATGAATGAATAATGGCACAGTAAAGAATTGCCTTATGATAGATCTCTGACTACTAGTTAATATAAAATTACCAAGCTTCAAAGTTGATAGAAGCAAAGTATAAAGTTTCAAGAATTCATATTATCAACTGGAATTTGAGTCCGGTGACTCCAATGTGCCTTTAAGGTTATTTATAAACAAATTTGTACAATCAACATATATCATATAAATAAATCACACCAAAAAAAAGAAAAGAAAAGAAAAGAAAAGAAAAAGACCAAGACATTCTACACTCAAATGCTCAGAGAGTACAAATTCAGATATTTACTGAGCAACGCTAATCGTAAAAGTAATAATAAGAGCCTCCTATTAAACTATATCGACCGAAGTTGCAGCATTTATCTGAAGGTAACTCAAAACTAACATAAACAAATAAACATGAGTATTATTGAACATGAAAAACCAAAAAGAAACTACGGTAAAATGGGCAGATCGAAAACCAAAAGAAAAAAAAAAGTGCAAACTAGTCGCAACACCGGTGATGGTGTGTGGTGAGAACGAGCTTGAGATTGATCCCATGAGAATTGGCGACTTCAAGAACCTTCTCAGGCTCTACAGGGTCCACTACTGCACCTTCTTTGGTGCTCTCATCAGCGATTCTGCAGTGGTGCAAAACCAAAATAAAGGATTGCCCATAAATAATAATAACAACAAAGCATTTTCAAAGCTCAGAACTAGAATACACAAGCTGTGTTGGAAGTTGAAACCATGCGTAATTGTGGTCGTAGACTTACATGTAGGAATAAGTGTCTTGCAGGGAAGGAACGTGCAATATTTTCATAGTTTGTTAAGTTACGAGTTGCAGTGTGAAGTGTGAACGCATGCGGTTACTTTATATTAGTGCGAGTTCGATACGAAACTGAGGTGAAAGCAAATGAGAACCCACTCCACGCCATCGCTCCGTTCGACGTTGTTTTCCTCCTTCATTGACACGCAACTCTAACGTGTCAAACAATAAGCAATGTAATGTGCTTCCAAAATTAAAATAAATTAAAATGATTCAACATATTTTTTTTCTAAAAATATTATATTTTTATTTCTAGTTTTGTTTTTTTTTTCTCACTCTTAATATTTAATCAATTTTTTTTTCAAATAATATGTTTTATTTTCAATAAAGAACAAAAATAGCTTATTAAACCGTGAAAAATACACTTAAAATATTTTTAAAAAACTAAAAGCAATTTTTTGTCAAAAAATTATTAACAGACTTTTCATTTTTTAATATATTTCAATGTAATTAAAAAACATTTTAATCATTTTAACCAATGCTCTTAAAGTATTAATTAATAACTCTATAAAAATTACTAGTTTTTTATATTTATATTTCAACTTGAAAAAAATATATAACAAAAATATTAACTACTAATATGATGGGTATCAAATTTCCTTTCGGATGATTAAAAAAAATGTCAAGCTTATTGAAGGCAATAAAAAATTTCTCAAAAATATTTTTTTAAAATAATTTATTTATAATAGACAATAAAGACTCAAAACTATAGCCTATTAGTTATGAAATTTTATCTTATGTCACTGTCAATTGATTCCTTAAATTTTGAAAAATTTAATTAAAAACCACTTGTAAATAATTTTTCAACGAGAATAAAAAATGTGAATAGCATGACCTTTTTTAATTTTACAACTTATTGTAATTTGGTTCATTTGGTTTATTTATTTGAAAAAATATATAATTTTATGAGTTAAATTTTATTATTTTGATATTAAATTTTAAAGAATTTAAAATTTTATATATATTTTAATAAGAAATTTTAATATACTAAAATTAAAAAATTTAAATTCTAACAAAAGATTCAATTATTATTATTTATTTATTGTGTGTTCCATTTATATTTTAATTTAGTTATGATTAATTTAATAATTTAAATTTCATATTTTAAATAATTTTATTAAATATATTAATAATATATTCACTCTATTCAAATAAAAATATTTGAAATGAAATTAATTAAATTATTCTATTTAAAAAAATATTTTTTAAATAATAAAAATTTAAATGATATAATTTAAATTTCTTAAAATTTTAAATTCTTTGAAATTTTTAATTACCTAATTAAAAAATTTGTAAAATTTTTTAAGATTATTTTTAAAAAATTAGGAGTATTGTTTAGTATAAAAATGAATAAGGCAGATTCACTACAAAACATTTGTCAAAATTGAATTAAAGAATTATAAAATAAAAATACTAAAAAAAAGAAATTTAGCAAGACACCAAGCATATTAATTGTGCTTATACAACTTTTATTGATCAATTATTGCAATTGATTTTCGTATTACCAACATTTATGTTTTTTTATTGCTCAATCAACATTTCTGTTTGAAAAATATTTATTTATTCTTCAACGAATAATTATTTTTCTAGATTTAAGCAGAACTGCAGAAGTAAGTATGCTAATATAGTGAGCCCAAGAGCCGAAAGCCTGTTTCGATTGGGCCCAAACAGAAGCCCGCCCTAAATGAAGAACATATTACAAATGTGGCATCGTGGGAAGGGCTAGGTCTTCGGTGCACAGCCTGAACCCAACGCGTTGCGCAGAGAGACGTCGCGATGGGGCGGAGTAAGCATTTATCTTCCTCTTCTCAAATTTGATGTTATCTATTTCCCATTCCCATAATCGATAGTTTTTCGTTGCGTTTTCGGTTGAAGTTATTGTAGAGAATTCGTAGTTGCGTGTGCGTTTTGGAATTTTTGATGTCTTGTTCCTGGATCTGGAGGATTTATCGATTTTGAAAGATAGTTAGATTGAAACCTGCTTTGACTAACGACAAATTGCAACTAGTATACAAGCCGAGAATGACTAAAGCCGTTTTAGCTCTTTTGTTTAAAGTTGATAGCTCTGTTGTTGCATCTGGTTTATGAACAGTGGATTGTATGAGAGGCGCGATGATTGTACACATGAATGAAAATTATTTTATGTGCTGCTCTGTTCACCATGGAATTGCATGTATTTGGATCATCTAGAAATGAACGGTTAATTGGCTGAAAGTACTTGTTTTAATTGTTTAAAAATTGAAATAATTTGGAGGTGGTTATGACATGAGATATGCTTCATGCCAGATTTGATTGGAAAATTTAATTTTGTTGTTTCTGAGTCAATGCAATGATCGGTTTATTTTTAATTCATTGTCTGGTGTCCATATATTGTACGGATCTAATTAAGCGTATACAGTAAATAAATTGTTTCATTAATATTTTAAACACATTCGGTGCTTTCTAGAACTATTGAGCAAAACTGTATCATTTGGTTTTCTGATCATGGTCAACATTGTTTTGTAACCTTGTCTGAAACTTATATGGACTTTTATGCAAGGAGTTACATTATTGATATGTCACCTGTGGTTGCTTATGCCTTATGGTTTATGCTTCAATGTCATTCTTTAGTCTTTTACGAAGTTTAAATTCTTTCCTTGAATTATTGCCAGCAGGCCATACATGTGTTTTGATATTAGTTAGGATGTCCTTTTTGAATGTTATATTATTCTTTCTGTGACGACAGTTCTATGCATGATGGTTGAATGCAATGTGTTTGTTTTATGTAATTATTGAAAATGGTGGTAGAATGAAATTGGTTATGTTTTATGTGCTATAATGTATGGCATGGTGGTAATGATGAATGGTGTGTGATTTAGGACCTGCAAGGTGTTATCGGCAGATAAAAAACAAGCCATACCCCAAATCACGCTTCTGTCGTGGTGTTCCTGATCCTAAGATCAGAATTTATGATGTTGGTATGAAGAAGAAAGGTGTTGATGAATTTCCTTTCTGCGTCCATCTTGTTAGCTGGGAAAAGGAAAATGTTTCTAGTGAAGCATTGGAAGCTGCTAGGATTGCATGCAACAAATATATGGCAAAATTTGCTGGAAAGGATGCTTTCCACTTGAGAGTCAGAGTACATCCCTTCCATGTTCTTAGGATCAACAAAATGCTTTCATGTGCTGGAGCTGATAGGCTTCAGACTGGGATGAGAGGTGCATTTGGAAAGCCACAGGGTACATGTGCAAGAGTGGCCATTGGTCAGGTCCTTCTTTCTGTCCGCTGCAAGGACAGCAACAGCCATCATGCACAGGAGGCCCTCCGTCGTGCCAAGTTTAAGTTCCCTGGTCGTCAGAAGATCATAGTTAGCAGGAAATGGTATGTATTAAATCTTTTGGCAGCATGCTTTTGAAAGTGAAAACACACAAATACCGTTTTTTTAATTATTAAGTATAAACAATACATTTATATTTTCTAGAAAAAGACTTCAAACTTTTATCCATTGCCATCCTGTGATTAATTAATTGTTTTTGGTTTGTAATCAGTTTGTTATTGGATTTTATGAGAGTTTCTTTATTTTGATTGTCATATTTGAGGTATTTTTATGCATTTGGTTTGACTGTAGTTGTTTTGAATGCATGCTCAGGGGTTTCACCAAGTTTAGCCGTACTGATTATCTCAAGTTCAAGTCAGAGAACAGGATTGTGCCTGATGGTGTGAATGCAAAGGTAATTCGAAGCTATGCCTGGATGCTGATGTTCTTGTGGATCGTTAAAATTTTTCTTGCATTCAGTTTTCCACATGTTTAAGGACATTTGTTCTATTTTTAAAATTGGATTTGGATTTGTATTATTGTTTGTACATTCAATTAATCTATTTATTGAGGTTATATTTAGCTTATCCAATTCACAAGTTCTTTCATGTGGTTTTGCAGCTTCTTGGGTGCCATGGACCATTGGCAAACCGTCAACCTGGAAGAGCTTTCTTGTCTAGTGCTACTGCTTAGTGATTTGTTACTTGGAAATTATAGGCTTTGAACACCATAGTTGGGCTCGACTGAATTTGAGTTTCCTATTTGCTATGCCCTGCCGTGTCATTAAACTAAGTTGACTTTGTTTTTTTGTTTCCGTTTTTGTGAACTATCTTGAATGGAATGAATTTTGTCTTGATTGGATTCCCTTCCCCTTGATGGTTTTGCTTGGGGTTTGACAATTGCTTATGGATTTGAGGTCGACGGTCCTGATTAAAATTACATGAGAAATGTTTGGAACACATTTTTCAGTACAGTGAAATTCTCGATCGAATCCACTAATAGGGAATGCGATTCCCGTCATATAATACAATTGATAAATTTCGTATATAATAAGATTGTGTCTAAGAAATGTGTTGAAGAATGAGTTAAGAACTCAAATTTAATCGTTTAGCTAATCCAGCAAAGAGTTTTGTTGGCAAACAAATGCTTCCTCTCAAAGTTGGAGAAATAGACCGTTACCTTCATTAAATTAGACATTAAGTGGTGCATAAATCAACTGTTAAATGTCGGGGTGGCTCAATCCCATGTAGCAGCTATATAACAGAAGATCAGTGGAATTCCCTATTACGAATGTTTTTCATCAAGGAGGTATGGATTTCAGTACTGTGTTAGCGTATTACCTCATGGTAATGAACCTAATGTCAGTATGTCATAGGGTGGTTGATGCATTTGTTCTGCAAACCTTCAAAAAATTTCCCACAACCATCAGTAAACTGTAAAAAAAGCGATGACAAAATAAATCATTAAATCTAGAGATTTAAAGCAGGACATTGTAAAATAAAATTCTGATATACTTTCTAATGAACTATTATCCTTTGCGCATGTTTCATAAGAATCCAAACAAGATGAAAACAGCAGGGTTGATCAGACAGTACAGTGTATCTCCAACAAAAGCTGCCAGTTGATCATCCTCTTTGCTTGCTAGCAACCTTCCACCCTCTGTGACCTTCGGTGTAAGGGAAAATGTGTCCGGAGCAAGGATGATATTTAGGTTCAACCACATCAAGAATCATTAAACGTGTATTTAATAATATTGAATGACATGTATTCAACAATTACACGATTCTCTGCAAGCAAATAGTAAGCTTTTCAGTTGGCAAGAAGAAGGGCTTTATACTACTGTTGTGATTGGTTTGAAACGGGCCGAGTAGCTGAGTTGGTATGTTATACTAAAAAGTTAAAAAGATCACTTATCGGGTCGGGTTGACCCGACGAAAGGTGTTGTTGCGAAGTGCAGTGCGGCGAGACATTGTGTGCGCTCCTGCGTCTGCAGTTTGTGTTAATTTCAAATCGGAAATGCAAATGTCAAGGGTTTCTTCACAACGAATCACCCAATTCCAAGGTCTTCTCCGCGGCCTAAATCACCGCTTCACTTCTTCCTCTTCTCCCTCCCCTTTCCGCAACCCCGCGCTTCGCGATTCTTCTTCTCTTTCTTCATTTGCACCAAAACCCTCTTTGTCAAATGCCACGTTCCGCTCCCCGTCGCCGACCCCGATATTCTACCCTTCTGCGGGGCAACGCGTTGGCAATGCCTTTCGATTCTTCTCCTCAAAGTCATCGAATGTAGATAAAGGTTTTGCGCAGAAGGTGTTGGATAAACCCGCTACTGCACTGACCTCTGCTTTCTCGCGCTACCGCGAGGCCATTGGCTTGCAAATCGAGGCATTCTTCAAGAGGAACTCTCTCTTCCTGTTCGGTGCTGGTGGTGTTATCGTTTGCGCTCTTCTTTGGAGGATCCTCTTTGGAATCGCTAACCTCTTCGTTGGACTCTCCGAAGGCATGGCTAAGTATGGCTTCCTTGCCCTTTCATCTGCTATCGTTGCTTTTTCTGTAAGTTCTTTCATCTGCTTGTGTTAATTGAATGTAAACTATAAACTAGACACTCGTCACTAGACACTGGAAACTCTTCCATTGACTTCAAAAAGACTCATTGAACTTCATCAGCATTGTGATGATGAATTGCACATTTAAGTTTTTTAGATCGGAGTTAGTGCTGGGGGAACCTGTCATGAAATAATGAATCATGCATTTGGCTAGTATGGAATTGGAATGGAGCATTGTCTAATTATTTTATGCGTGTTGCATTTTTAAGGGCTTGTATATCCGTTCAAGGTTCACAATCAACCCTGATAAAGTTTATAGAATGGCCATGACAAAACTTAACACCTCTGCTGGGATTCTTGAAGTTATGGGTGCCCCCCTTACTGGAACTGATTTGAGAGCCTATATAATGTCAGGGGGCGGCCTTGCGATGAAGAAGTTCAAGCCAAGTATTAGGAGTCGTCGATGTTTTCTCATTTTCCCCATAACAGGGTCTGAGAAAAAGGGTCTGGTCAGTGTTGAAGTCAAGAAAAAGAAGGGCCAGGTAAATCAACTTTCATCTGTAAATCACTTCATAGGATTTGTTAGTCTTACATTGATGTTTGTTGCATCTCTTGTGTCTCAACATCATATTTCTGGATCAAATACTACTAATATTGTTAATTTAGGTACCTTTTGTTGTTCCATGTCTTGAGAATTGTTAGTCATATCCACGATAGGTTTCTTGGAAAATTTGATATCTGGTGATTGGTATTTTCCCCTTTGTCAATGTGATGTGAATCATCTGATATATCTTTTCAAAATTGTCTCCACTTAAAATAAAGACATCATATTGTGTTCAGTCTCTGAGTGGCAGCGATCAACTTCATGACCCAAGATCTATATAAGCAACCAAATATCTTGCCTGGAGCATGTACAGAGAAGCTTAGCTGCAAACATTCTTTATAGAGGTTTTTTTTTTTTTTTTCATATCGTAAATCGATAGATTGATATCATTGTTGCTACTGTAGACAAGGGGTTCTATTGTGTATGTCTGCACAGGTAGATACATATATGTATTTGGGTGGTCTATTTTACCATAGTGGCTTCTTGATGTGGATGAGTATGATGCTGCATATGATTGTAATATATTCTTTAGTGAACATAGCATTAGGCTAAATCTTTAAGCCAATGTGCAATCTATGCTTCTTTTTGGCATTATTGGTTGGAGCACAATTCTTGTGTTCAAGCATCAAAGGAGGATCTTTGGCACATCAGGTGATTAGGGCTTTATTAGGCATTTAGCTTCCTTTTGGACTTGGTGTATAAAGCATATGGTTTTTCTCTAAAGGCATTTACCTAACAGATATGCTTGGGGATTGGGATGCTTCACCCCGTTGATCACAACAACTACCACCAAGCATTTTCCCACTAGGTGGGGACATGGATCAGATGACTTGTTCACCCTTTTAGCTAAGAATTCCTTATGCTCCTGTAATTTTGTTCTTTGTCTTTATAAATTTCTTCTTTTATATCCAAAAGAAGAGCATAGCAGTAATATATTGGTGACTGGCAACTTGCTCCGCATAACATAGCAATAGCAAGAGTTTGCTGTGCAAAGATGCTATGAGTGTTGTTCTAATACTTCAATTAGGATGGAATCATGAAGAAAGGAATGGATTTGTGGATTTGTTATCAACCAGAAAAGAAAATATGCTGAAAACCAGAATCATGCATTACTTGCAGAAAGATTAAGAGAAGAGGGGGATCTGGTGTTCATCAGATCACCCAGATCTGAGAAGTAATATACTGACATGAGTAAGATATCTCTGTAAGTATCATGATGTAGACAATTTCGTGGTGTAAATATGACTTGCTTGCTCCAATTTTTTTGGGTAGGCATATATCTAAGAAGTGAGAGCAGAAGCTTAATGAGAACTAAAGCTTTTGATGGGATATTGAAAGAGACAACTGCAACTAGATTTCTATTTTGAAGTTATTTCTGAAAGGTTGAAAAGCAAAGAATGATGGCGTTATTTGACTGGGTTGATTGATTGTTTTGACATACATCTCACTTCTGCCCAGAAAAGTAGCCAGCATTTCTGTTGATCCTTGCTTGATATGCTTATAACATTTTCAGTGTTAAATTATATTCAATGTCTACTATTTTGTAGTTATTTTTCCAAGTGTTAAATCCTATTTTTTGTGAATGATTGGAATGGATAAGAAAGTGTTCAAAGCTATTCTAAAATTGTTGCTGAGCTTAACGTGCAATTTAATTTTTTGAAGCTAAATACATGTTCAAGATATTCCCTTGAAAGTTATATGTGCAAATAACATGGGTTCATCTCCAGCAATATCCCAAGTTATTTTAGAATAGGTTTAGGTAGACTTTTATAGTCGACACAATATCTGATCTTCAGTATATCCCTTATTTCTCTTTTCATTTCTGAAGTAGGACATTTTGCTTGGCCCTAGAATATAAAATGGAATTGAAGAGCTTAGTTATCTGCTCTGTTTATATCGAGAAAATCTAGCAATGGGCTGGTAATGGCTGTGCTAGTAATTTAGGATGAACTTTGACAGCCCTCTTTCATGGGGGAAAAAACTGTTTGAGCATCCAGCAAGGCACATAGTTTCTACTTGAGGAATTTTGTTTCCTTTTGCCTTCTTTTATTTGCACTGTAAAAAAATTTTAATCTTCTGCATGGATGATGATATCTTTCTACCATGATAGTCTTTCTACTCAAGCGTTTTGTGCATTACACTAACTCAGCTAGAAATGGAATCAGTAATTTGTCCTCCACTATGTATTTAACTAGCGGCAGTGCTACCTTAGGGCCAGGGATACCTCCCCTCCCGACCTCATAGGCCATTGAATTGGCACAAGTCTTGTTTTTAAATATAATTATGAATTTATGATATATAATTATATTGTTTTTATTTTTGTGCATACCTTCAATTCAAGTAGAAAAAATTATTTAAATCAACTATATTTGAGCTTTGTAATTTTTTTTTATTATGATAACGGTTTTGGTTGAATCGATGCTCTTAAAAATAAAAGAAATTTTATCTGCTAATTTAAATAATTTAAAAGGCTGTACTGCATTTTATAAATTTTTGTACGAGCAAGGCATCAGCAGATAAATTTTTTTTTTTCCTGTTTAATAAAACTATTCTTTTTGTCCCGATAATTATTATAGTGGAATTATTAGCAAAAATAATTCCCAATAGAAAAAAAAAAGTGAAAATGTTATGGTAATTGATGCTTCCGGGTGTGCGTACTCAGCCTCTGCTCTTTCCCTTCATATGCAGTATGATATGAAGCTGCTGGCTATTGATGTTCCTATGGCTTCTGGTCCAGACCAGCGGTTGTATCTTATTGGGGATGAAGAAGAGTACAGGGTTGGCGGGGGACTAATATCTGAGCTAAGAGACCCTGTAGTGAAAGCAATGGCAGCAACCAAAGAATTTGATGATCTTGATGAGATTGAGGAAGAGGCAGATGCTGAGAGAGAACGTCAGGAGGCTGAAAGAAAGGACCGTGAAGAAGTTGAAAAGCTTGAAAATAGTGGCACCTAGTGATAGGCCTTGACAATCTTCTGATTTCTTCCCTTGTTTGATTACAGGAGTTGATGTTGTTTAGAACACACTTGATTTGTATCAGTCTGAAATTTCCCAAGATTTGGAGCTCCTTGTACCACAAATGGCCAAGTGTATCTGAACCGAGGTTGAGAAAATAAAGCTGACAGGGACCAACGTGCATTGGAATGGACTCACGTTTATGATATAGTTACTATCTACTTAGATGTCATTTCAGGGACTTGAATTTGGAACCCCTATCCCCTTCCGGTGGAAAGTTGTTTTAAAAACAGTTTTCTGTTTTTAAAAGTAAAATATAATATAAATTTGTATTATATTTTATTTTTAGAAGCAGAAAGCTATTTTTAAAATAGAAATCAAACATGATCTTAAACATTTTACATTGTCCTCCTGTTTTTCACCCCATGCATGACTCAGAGCAGCAACCGTGCGCGCAGAGAAGAAACAAGGGAAAGAGAGAAAACTTTTCAGATTGGATAAATTTTATTGTTTGATTGAAATGAAAATAAGTAGGAAAGGAAAGATAATTATTTTCAATTTTTTTTTTCCATTTCAAATATTTAAAATTTTCTTTCTCACTCTCTCTTATCCAAAAAATGCTAAAGGGCAAGAAATTCTCTTCCGGGAGCTTAAAATATTTTACAGCAAAATTTGCGGAAATGTGAAACTCTAAACATTTACACAACTTAAAATAATTTTGTATAGAATGTGAGAATGATTAATACAATATTAAAATTTGAAGGTCATCTTTATAAAATTTATACAAAAATAAAATTAATAAGTATTTTATTGTATTATTTTATTTAACAGTATTATATTTTTAAAATATAAATAAATATTAAAATTTAGATAATATACTTGCAAATATTCAATTTATGTAAAATTCTATATACATATTAGCAAAAAAAAGTCTATATACATTATTAAAAAGATAATATAAAAGATTCAATAGTTAAATTAATTAATGTTGCATTTTATAAAAAGTTATTAAGAGACGTAAGAATTTAAGATATATATATATATATATATATATGCATTATAAATAAATTATTATTATTATTATTATTATCTCGCTGCTTAACCTGTTCTACTCTCATCAAACAAGTTAAGTGAGCACAAATTAAGTGGATGATGGACGGGTTCAGAATCTCAACCTGCTCTACCAAATTTAGCGGGTGAAGCAAATCAAATGAAGAGTTAAACTGATATTGCGAATTCTATAACAAAATGTAAATAATTGGTAATTTGTACCCAAGGAGTATAGAGGATTAAAGTTGTTATCCAGTGTATATGAAAGCAAGTATAATAATTTTTTAAAAAGTGAATGTCAGAACGTGTACAAAGAGAATTAAATATAATAAATGTATATACAAAGACTAAATCATAATATTTTTTTTACTGATATCAAATACAAAAAGAATATCACATGTAAAGATTAAAAATATAATTTAATCTTGATACTAAAATATTTTTGGCCGTGGAATAATAAGCTGATGAGAGCTTGATAACCACAAGCACAGATATCCATTGAATGATACCTTAGAAATTGAAGAATCTAAGAGAGTCTTGCCTTCCATCATGTGACTGCTCCAATATGCTGTACACCTACACCGTCACCATGTCTGGAATAGAAGTGAAAAATGGACCTCTCAACTTACTTTTGATATTAATGAGTCATTTGGCTGAGTTGTCTCATAGCTATGTGTGAAAGTGACTTCAAAGTTCATTCTCTTTAAGACCCTCTTCAACTACCTATTGCGCCTTACGTCCCTTCTTGAACTTGCAGTTTTAAAAATTATTGAGTTTTAGATGTACATAAAACAGTGTCTTCGTGAAATTCAAAATGGTTTAATAGTAAGCATTTCTCAGGAACTGATTGCATAAATTAAATTTAGGAAATGATAATGGCTACAATTAAGCAATTAAAAGTGACAATTTTTTATTGAAAAAATAATTTATTAGATAGAGAATAGAAAAGTACGATAAATATTATATTTTTAACCAAAACTTCCAATTTTTAAATATTAAAATCAGCTTAAGAACTGAGCTTAACAAGATTGATTAAATTTTCGTCTCTTATATAGAAAGCAGTGTCAGTTAATTTGGTTTAATTTTCTCACTTGCACAAGACAGGTGTCACTGTCTCATTATGAGAGACTCTTTGAGACATCATCTTGTCAATAGAATATAGCTAAGAGGAAAACAACTTATCATCACTATTCACAAATGACATACATGCAATGTAAAATAGATGCTTTATTTACAAAATCCTCACAATCTTACTCTTTTATTCAAATTCCAAATAGAGAAGGTGTCAATGAAGATTCATGTTGACATGATGAGTTATGAGTGACAGCCCACCTAGCTAATATAGCGATAACATTAGTGTGGAATAATATCAAATGGTTTAGTAACAGCCAACTACCTTCTTCGTGCTTTTATGAGTAACTCATTACACGGTTGGCCCCATTATGGCCTAGTCCCTCTCAGAAACATAGCCAATATGTGCCAATTTTAAATGTTTATTTTACATCTAGTTCATGACTGGTCCTCTTCTTATTCCTCTATAGTCAAACCACAATAACAAACAGTTTGGAAGATGACAATAAGTAGGTAATCATCAAAATATTTAATCAATGGCTTGCAATAGATTTTGACAACTATTTAACATAGGCTGGTTCTTAGCTTAGTTCATTCCTTCATTAATTCCAGATTATGCTTTATAGGATTTGCAATACTGAAGTGCCCACCATGGTGACCTTTTGTTTTAATCCTCATGGGGGCCATTATGGTGGATTTTGATGTTGAACATGAATTCAAAACAAGCAATTATGTCAATCATTTTCCTCTTTTTGAATCTGTCATTACTCATTACTCCTTCATGAAAGGTTTCCAACTCCATAAGAACCATTGGATTTATGCTAGTTTTGAAAAAGAGTATTGGCTCATACCCTTTGCTAAAAAAATTGTTGTCCCCTATAGCTGAGGGAGTTGGATTACTCTGAAAGTTTTTACTATAAATAGAAATGGAAAAGTTAAAATCTCAGTCCCTCAGTAGTCTTCTCAAAGATGTGTCAGGAAATCCTTATTCATGTTGCTGTACTCTTATTACTTCATTTTATACGATTAGATATACACAATCCATGCAGTGCTCCTTTTATGTTGGGCTATTTTCCACAGCAGCAGATGGACATTAATGTATTAGTACCATAGTTAGTTAGGTAGAAGGCTTGGTAAACTCCCTCATTATTGCTGTCATAGTAGTTAAGAAGGAAAATATATGGTTTTTTCATCAAGAGATATTCAATTGACAATCTCTTTTTTGATGTGTGTGAATCTCTTCACAAGAGAAGTCATATTCTTATTGTTTTGTAAAACTGTAATGGTAAGTCTGATACCACCACCAACTTCAACTGTTCTGAGTAGCAGTAAGTATCTCAATTCTAAAGTTTCAAGTCGTACTATATGTGTGCACAAATAGTCAACTCCTGTTGCTCCATTTCATATTGTGCTTTACTAAATTCTTCTTGACCTTTATATTCCCTTACACATTTATGTGCAGTGATGCTTCATTCTCTTTCACCTAGTGAAATAAGGCTTGGTTGTTGTTGTTGACACTTCACTCTATGATGTGTTTTTGGTATTCCAGAACTGAATTTCATATGGAGGTAATATCTCTCACTTCCTTCAAATTCCAATTTTACTCGCAATTGCTAACTTGGAACACTTATACATTTTCCATGACTAAAAATAGAAAAATAAGGTGTTTCTTGGGAAGCTTGTCCATTCTGGTTACATCTGTTGTACATAATTTTGGATCACCATAACTTTTTTTGGATCCGGATCCTATAAAAGTTTTGAGTCTCCTTCTGGTTTTATGTCTTACAATTGGAGAATTTTTCTAGTCTGATCTGTTATGCCTTCAATTCCTTCTCTCATGACTTTATTATTTTTATATTGTTTTCTTTAATTGGGGTAAGGGACAAGTCTTATGTTTTGCTTGCCTTCAGTGAAGGAATCAGCAAGTTGTTTTTGTTGAAATGCTGATGGTATGCTAGCTTTGAGTTGTTAAATGCAATACTTGACCCTTTAATTATGTTTTGTTCTTGTACGTGTCTAAATCTGGTTCATCAAGTAGTTTTCTGTACTTCAAAATGACTTTTCTGCAGTATTCACTGACCCAGATCAGGTGGCAAAAATGAGAAATCAACACCAATGATTTATGTTGATCTTTTTTAAATTATGAGAATGAGGCCACTTTAGGGAAAGAATGCTTTTTCTTTATAAAGTACAATGGAGAATCAAACTTTAGCTTTTTCTTTTTCAGTTCTATTTTTTCTTGGATTCTCAATTATCACAATAGCCTTTGTTTTTTTTTTTCGTTCTCCCTTCTTGGTTGCTTCTGAAACTTATAAGCACCGGTTTGTGAAGAAATTTCTTTATTCTCAGTGAAAAGTGCACTTTAGTCCCCCACTATTTAAAGTTCACAGGCAAGCCTTTGGCTTTTTACTTTTTCTTTTTAAATGGAGGAGTCAGCATAACACTTCAAGTGTTGAAAGAAAGAAAATGCCTCAACTGATGCATCTGAAAGAAGGAAGTCCCTTTCCTTACTAACTGGTAAGCATGAACGAGCCTGTTATTTTATTTTATTTTTTTGGTTCTATTCAAAAGCTGAGCAATAAGTGATTTCTTCTGCATAAACAGTAAATTTTTCGTACTGAAATTTCAAATTTTAAGAGAGAGAAGTTGGTTAAAAATATTTGAATTCAATCTTATACAATTTCTAAATTCATAATCTGCTCTTCCTACCCTTTTCATCCTGTAAACTAATCAAAACCATCACTTCATGTTTCTATGCTGCTTCACTTAAAAGTTCAAAATATGGCTGATTCTAGACGACTTCATGCGATCATGGTCACCCCAAATCGTTCCATTTACCAGAATAAAAATAGCCAATTTGAGATTTGTATATGTCCACTTTCCTAGCTATATGATCAGGTAACAATTTGCTTTAATTTCTAAAGCCAATCAGGAAAAGATGAACAGTTAAGCTCAGAACCTGGAACAATACCTAGTCTTGATTTTGCACCAAGCAAGACCCATGAAGTTGCAGTTATCAATTGTTGCTCTTGTTCTATTAAGCTCCACACTGTCTCTCTTTGGCTTGAGTGTAGCTGACTTGAACTCTGACCAAAAAGCTCTCTTGGAGTTTGCTGCTTCTGTCCCACATGCACCAAGGCTCAACTGGAATGACTATTCTTCAATATGTACCTCATGGCTTGGGGTGACTTGCAACTCAAATGGCACACGTGTCGTAGGCCTCCACCTTCCAGGAATGGGATTAACAGGGTCCATTCCAGAGAACAGCATAGGAAAACTAGATGCTCTAAGGGTCCTGAGTCTTCATTCCAATGGCCTTAAAGGAAATATTCCTTCTAACATCCTTTCCATTCCTTCACTCCAATTTGCACACCTACAGCACAATAACTTCTCTGGCCTAATTCCTTCTCCTGTGTCCCCTAAACTCATTGCATTGGATATTTCCTTTAACTCATTTTCTGGCAATATCCCACCTACATTTCAGAACCTTAGAAGACTCACGTGGTTGTACCTCCAAAACAACTCCATATCAGGATTTATTCCTGACTTTAACCTTCCAAGTCTCAAATATTTGAATTTGAGCTATAATAACTTGAATGGCTCAATTCCAAGTTCCATCAAGACATTCCCTTCTACTTCTTTTGTTGGAAACTCTCTCTTATGCGGTCCACCTCTCAATCATTGCTCTACAATCTCCCCTTCTCCCTCTCCTTCTTCTGATTACCAGCCGAGTACTCCAGAAACCACTCAAAACCAAAAAGCTACAACACATAAGAAAAGCTTTGGCCTAGCTACTATCCTTGCACTCGTCATTGGGAGCATTGCCTTCCTCTCTCTACTAGTTGTAATAATCTCTGTGTGCTGTTTGAAGAGGAAGAAAAACATTAAAAGCAGTGGCATACTGAAAGGAAAGGCTTCTTGTGCTGGAAAGCCTGAGGTTTCAAAGAGTTTTGGGAGTGGTGTGCAAGGGGCTGAAAAGAACAAGTTGTTTTTCTTTGAAGGTTCATCTTATAGCTTTGACCTTGAGGATTTGCTAAAGGCTTCAGCTGAAGTTCTAGGAAAAGGGAGCTATGGAACAGCATACAAGGCTGTTTTGGAGGAAGGAACAACAGTGGTAGTTAAAAGGTTGAAGGAAGTTGTGGTTGGAAAGAAGGAGTTTGAGCAGCATTTGGAGATTGTGGGAAGAATTGGACACCATCCCAATGTCATGCCCCTTAGAGCTTATTACTATTCCAAAGATGAGAAACTTCTAGTTTACAACTACATGCCAGGTGGCAGCTTGTTTTTCTTGTTGCATGGTATGTTCTATGACTAAACCCTCCTTAGTTTGTTCAAAAGTAACATGTTTTATGATTTCTACTTGGGCCTCTCAGTTTTAGCTACGCTATGATAAATCATCTTTACAAACTATCAATCACTAGATTCAAATAGTAACTGAAACTGACATTGACCCTAAAACCAACTTGTTTCCACGATGTCATGGGTGATTATGGTTAGATAGTCACTGAAAAAATCACGCTACTGTGATTATATTTTACTTGCAGACTACTCTATCTCTATGCATTGACTTCACTAAAAAAAAGTATAAAAGCGTTGACTCTTGATGTTTAAATAGTTTAATTCATGTTTGTGTTTGCAGCTTTTCAGGTAAAGTGCTAGTAAACAGATTGAACATTTTCAAAATTCTGTTTAATTACATGCTTAAGTTACTCTTGGATCTAAAACTGTCACTTGCAGTTACCAACTTCAATTGTGACAATGCTATATCTTTGCCTAACTCGTCTATTCCAATCCAAACAATAGGAAACAGGGGTGCAGGAAGAACTCCATTAGATTGGGATTCCAGAGTGAAGATTTCACTTGGAGCTGCAAAGGGAATAGCATTCATTCACTCAGAGGGTGGTCCAAAATTCACACATGGCAACATAAAGTCAACCAATGTGCTCATAACCCAAGAACTTGATAGCTGCATCTCTGATATTGGTTTGCCTCCTCTAATGAACACACCAGCAACCATGTCTAGATCCAATGGTTATAGAGCACCAGAAGTTTCTGATTCAAGAAAGATCACTCAAAAATCTGATGTATACAGCTTTGGTGTGCTGCTGCTTGAAATGCTAACAGGAAAGAGCCCAATGAGATATCCTGGTCATGAAGATGTGGTTGATCTTCCAAGATGGGTGAGGTCTGTTGTTAGAGAGGAATGGACAGCTGAAGTCTTTGATGAGGAGCTTCTGAGAGGGCAATATGTTGAAGAGGAAATGGTGCAAATGCTTCAGATTTCATTAGCATGTGTAGTTAAGGTGCCAGATATGAGGCCTAGAATGGATGAAGTTGTTAGAATGATAGAGGAAATTAAGCATCCTGAGATGAAGAACCGGCCATCTTCTGAGTCTGAGTCTGCTGTGCAGACACCATAAATCTTTGCCTGTCAACTGCAATTCAGAGGAATGGCTGAGGTTCCTCATATTCTGTCCTGTTATTAAGCGATAACGATGTGTCATTGTAAAATGCTAATGGTTTCGTTCATTTTGCCCATAAAAGCTTTCTTGTTTCACTCTATTTGTTGTTGCCTTCTGAAACTTTTGGCTAACTGTTCAGTCAATGGAAATAATTCAAGTTTCATTTTGCAGATCAAAGAGGCGCATTAATCAACATTTTCTTTTACTCACAATCTTTTAGATCTCTCTTGATTTTTATCTCATGCTCACCTCTGATGACGTATCGCAGAGATATCTTTAAATTTAATTTGATGAATTACTGTTTGATCGTCTAGTAATAAATTAAGTTGAGTTTAATTATACGAATTTAGAATACTAATATTAGAATTTAGAATAATAATAAATTAAATTACTTACTTGTATATTATAAATTAAAATATGTTAAATACTAAAATATATATTAAATTAAAAAATTACACTTATTGTTAAATTAAATTTTTAATAAAAAATAAGTTTTTATATTTAAATTATTTTATTAATTAGTTTAATATAATTTATAGTTTAATATATATTTTAAAAATTAAAATTTTCTTTAAATTAAAAAATTATATTTATAAAATCATTAATTTATATTATATATTGTTAATTAAATTTCTAATGAAAAGATAAGTTTATATATTTAAATTGTTTTATTAATTTGTTTAATATAATCTATAGTTTAATATATACTTTAAAAACTAAAATTTTCTTTAGAAATAAAAAAAATTACACTTACAAAATTATTAGTTTATATAATATATTGTTAAATTAAATTTATAATAAAAAATAAGTTTACGTATAAAAATACTATATATAAAATAAGATAAAATAAGATAATTTAAAATTACATTGAATTAAAAAAATATTGAAATTAATTATAATAATTTACATAATTTAAAAATTATAATTATAATTGATTTATATTTATTATCTTTGAATTATATTTATAAAAAAGTTATTAAAATTGATTGTTATATAATGTTAAAAATGATAATAATAAAACTACTATAAATGATATTTAATAAAAATATATTAAAATTTAATATAAATAAAATATTTTTAAAATTTTCTATGTCAAATATTGAAAATAGGAAGAAGAATATTGATTAAATTGTACAAAAATATTTTTGAGAATATTTGATAAAATTCTTGAGTTATCTTTTAATTAAAAATAAAAATGTATTTTTGTTTTAACTTCTATTTAATATTTGAATCTTAATTATTGTTTTATATTATATATTATTAAATTAAATTTCTAATGAAAAGATAATTAAATTATAATATAAATGAAAAAATAATTTTATTATATTAATTTTTTATTTTCTGATTTATATGAATCATGTTTACACAACTTTTGAAGAATTACTGTTCTTTCAATTGTTATCCTCTTTCTTTGTATTTTGTAATCATGTCAGCTATTAATTGAATTTTATTTTTAACTAATTAATTTATATTAAATCTATCATTATTTTCTTATATTCATCACAAGTAATTATTTTAACTAATTAATTTATATTAAATCTATCATTATTTTCTTATATTCATCACAAGTAATTATATTTACTTTTATGTTTTTTATATTTTTGTAGGAGAACAAAAAGTTTCAATAAAGATTAATGGACTTTTTCTAATGATCTAAATTAACAACATATGATTTGAAAATAAAAGTGTGAATATCATAAATGTGAGCACTAAATATATATCGCAAAAAAAAGTTAATTAGTACTTATATGATATTAATTGATGAAAATATATTAGATTTGTATTTTTTTATTAAAATTTTATTATTTTAAATAAATTATAATTATGTCTTTTATATGTTCTTTTATAATAACTATATAAATTTATTTTTTTAAGTTTTTAGTTGATTAATTTTTCCTTTATATAGAACAATTACATACATGTTTTCATATAACAAGATATTTCTTACAGATTCAAAAGTATATTAAAGGAAGAAAAAATATACTTTACAATAAATTTTTCAATGACAAAGAATAAAGATAGATTTGGTGTGATTGAAAATAATCTTTTCATGTTGCAGTTCTATACTACAACTATTATTAAGGAATTAAATAATAATAACACAATTTCTTACTATATCTTTAAGTCTATGAACTTTGAAGATTTGAAAAGTCTTGTGTGAAAATAACATCTTATCAGTTATTTTGTTGTAAAACCTTAATAAAATTTGTTATATAATTTGTATTTATTTTATTAATTAGTTTCCTAAAATTATTTATTTTATGAATAGATGTGATTGGAGTGGTCATACACACAAGTTCTATTGAATAAAAAAAAAATTTTCAAGGCAAAGTTAATATCATGACGCTTTAATTACAAGACATAAGGTATAAACAATTATTTTAAAGTTATTATTAATTAAAAAATATTATAATTTTAGTTAAATCATTTGTAGGGGAAATAGAGTAAAAGTAACATTGTGATATGATTATATTACACAATTTGAAGAAATAATAAAAGATAATGTATTTAAGAATTAAAAAATTAATGTTACAATATTCAAATATACTATGGTGAAAGAATTTTAAGGTAATTGTATTATTGTATTATTATATTTTTAAAATATTTTATTTAAATAATATATATATATATATATATATATATATATATATATATATGCTTCATATTTAATTATAAAAATATGATTGTATGTATTGTAGGTAATATTTCTATTTCTACATCAAGATCAACAAAGATTTATGTCAATATTGACATATAAGAAATTACTCATTTCATAGATTCACTCTGGTATTGAAATTATTAAAAATCTTTCTATTACGTTAACTATTGTTAATTCTTTATTTTTTTTATCTTAATCACATTTTCAATTATTCATTATTACTTTGTTGTAGAGATTTTAATGATATGCATATTTCTCACAATGTTGATAATATAAGATCTATGATTCTTTCTAAGTTAAAAAATTTTAAAAATATATCTGAAATTTTGACCATGACAAAATTAGATAGTGATATGATAAATTTAATTTCTCTTATACTTTGTTCTTCTTATTTAATTTTTAAAATTTTTAGTTAATTTTTAGAACGTCATAATTGGTTGTATTGTAACTGAGAATAATATATTGCTTAAAAATGTTTAGTATTATATTTCTTGTCCCCTATTGCAAAAAGAAAATTTCTTTATGGATATAGTTATAAAACTATGTATTCTAATTTTTAAATTTTCATATTCAGATAATTTGAATTATATATTATTACCTTAATTTATATATATTACAAGTTTCGTTTTGAACTTGATGTTAACGATTCTACCATCTAACTATATTTGTCTTATTTGATGAAGTTGTTGTACAATTATCACAAATAAAGTTAAAATACCTTATTGTAACATCTGAAATTGTAAGTAAATGTATTAAGTTTTAACTTATCAAAAAATCTAATCAAATTATTGATTATATAAATAAAATATATTAAAATAAATAACAATTTTTATGTGATAATTTTTTAAAGGTTAATGATGAAGGGTTGAAATTGCCTCCACAATTTTTAAAGATTATTGGCACTTCACATATTTTTAAATAAAAATGAGTAACTTACTTTGAAAGTTGTGCAAGACATTTTTATTGCAAATAAATTTTTGAAACCGATAGTGAAAGTAATATAGAAGATTAAAATGGAGTTTCATTACTTTTATTTATAATGTTTATAATACGATTATGAATAATTTTATTTTCATTGTTTAATATTTATAGATTAAGAAGGAAGAAGGTTTAGACAATATAAATATGAAAACAAAAGAAAATGACTTGGTAATAAGTTATTCACCTATATCTTCAACCATAGAAACACTAAATTTATCAAAAAGAATGAGAAAATTAATGTATAAATTATAAATTTATAATGTATTGTTTAAATTTCTTAGATTATATAATAATTTATATTTGATATTTTATTTTAAGTCACAACTTGAAGAAGATGAAATAAAAAAATGGTGAACAAAATGCAATAATGGAGAATTTAGAAGATTGAACAATTTTAATTTCAATATTGTATAAAATATTATCTAAAATTTAAAAAGTAAAATGTCATAAGTCTTTTATAAAATAATTTTTTTATCTTATTATATATATTTCTCTTACTTCATTATTATATATATTATGTATTGACTTTATTCTAAACATAAAATTTATCTAAATTTTATATGTGATTTATAAATCTTATATTTTATCAACATCAGTAATTTTAATTGATATAAAGACTAATTTTTATATTAAATAAAATCAATTTTCTCATTTAGTTTTTACCTAAATATTAATTGAAAATTTTTTAACTACTTTTTTTTTCTCTTTTTCTATTATTTTAATTTTTTTTAAATAATTTAATAAGAATTAATATATCATAATTATGTATAACTTATTAATTTAGATAATATTTTATTTATATTTTATATTATAATAATTATGATGACAAATTTAATTTTTTTAAATTAAAAATTAACAATATTTATACTTAATGATTTTGTTGCAATGTTTTTTTTAATAAAATGTTATAATGATGATGATAAATTTAAAATTCATCAATTAAAAATAATTAATTATAATAATTGAAATAAATTAAATATCATAATAGTAAAAATAAATATGATTTGATATTTAAATCTTTAAGTAACTGTTTAATTTTTATATTTAATAATTTTATACTGTAATGAATGAATAAGTAAAGAAAATATAACGTTTTAACTCTAAATTAAGTTTAAATATTATATTTAATTTTTATATATATCATCTATTTTAAAAGTCAACGGACATTTCTCTTTATATACTTTTAAAATTTTATGAGTATGAAGTCTAAATTTTTACAACTACCAAAAGACTTTCAATCTAAGAAAGATAGAGGTTAATGTTTAAAATGTTATAAAAATATTTTTTATATTAACATATCAAATTATATTTATTTATTAGAATTTCATATTCTAACTATATAATTATTCAAAATTTTTATTGAAATATAAGTTCTAATATTTTTAAAATTTTTTCAAAGAGCATTCAATTACAAGTAGAGATAGTGCTTTCTATCGAAAAAATTTAGCCATTTTGTAGACTTATAATTAGTTCCCACGATATAAATCTAAATATATGTATTATACATAAAAATATTAAATCTATACAAATATTTTTTTATTAATATCATTATTTATTATATTATATTCTTAAAATTATATA